TGGGGATGATATGGAAGGGGATAATGAAGGGACAAGTAAGGTGAGAAGGAAAAAAAAACTGCCTCGGTTTAAGCAGTATAGAAGGGCGGTGGACTTAAAGAATCCTGAGTTTCGGCTTGGGATGCAATTTGAAAATAGACAGGTTCTTAAGGAGGCACTCAGGGAATATTCCATTATTCATGGAAGGAAACTGTTCTTTGAAAAAAATGACAAGACGAGAGTAAAGGCAATTTGCAACGGAGGATTAAAATGTCCATTTCTGGTTTATGCTTCACAGATAAACCAGGATGTGCAAACATTTGTAATTAAGAAGTTGAGCTTAGAACACACATGTGGGAGGGTGGAGAAACTGAAGTTTGCTAATCCCAAATGGATTTGTGACAGATTTTCTAGCAAGATTAAGAGAAACACATATTGGAATCTCAAAGCTTTTCAAGGAGAAGTTTTGGAGTCCTATCATGTGAGGGTGTCCAAAACTCAAGTGTATAGGGCAAAGAAATTGGCTAAAGCACAAATTGAAGGAAACTACATACAGCAATATGCACGGTTGTGGGACTATGCAGAGCAGTTGAAGAAAACCAACAAAGGTAGTACAGTGAAAATTAAGTGTGATATGGTTGGGGGTGAAGCAATATTTAAAAGGATTTATGTGTGTCTGGTTGCTTGTAAAAAAGGGTTTTTAGAAGGGTGCAGGCCTGTAATTGGGGTTGATGCTTGCCATTTGAAAGGTCCTTATCCTGGGCAAATATTGACTGCTGTAGGAGTTAATGGTAATAATGGTCTTTTCCCAATTGCATATGTTGTGGCTGAGATTGTAAACAAGGACTCGTGGATTTGGTTTCTGTCTTTGTTGATTGAAGATTTAGGTATTAGAAATGGTTTATCCTGGGCTTTCATAAGTGATAAGCAAAAGGGGCTCATACCTGCCATTGCACATGTACTACCAACTGCAGAGCATAGGATGTGCGTCCGGCACTTGTACAATAATTTCAGAGCAACACATGTTGGTCTCACTCTTAAACACATGTTGTGGGCAGCTGCTAGAGCCACTACTATTCCTTGGTGGGAAGCAGAAATGGACAAGATGAAGGAAGAGGACTTAGAAGCTTGGAAATGGTTGGTGCAGAGACCACCCAATAATTGGACTAGATCTCATTTTCATACAAGGTATAAGTGTGATCTTCTACTGAACAACCTTTGTGAGAGCTTTAATGCAGCTATAATTGATGCCAGAGATAATTCCATTTTGACATGTTTGGAAAGTATTCGAATGTATGTGATGCTTAGGATGGCTAATCGAAGGGCTGCTTGTGGTAAATGGAAACACCCTATTGGCCCAAGGATATTCAAAATAATTGAGAAGAACAAGATGGGAGCTTCTCAATGCATTCCTAGATTGGCTGGGGATAAAATGTATCAAGTCAGTCACATGTATGGTGGAGAGTTTGTTGTAGATCTTGCAGCAATGTCTTGTAGTTGTAGGAGATGAGATTTATGTGGCATACCCTGTGCACATGCTATTTCAGCTATATTCCACAGAGATGAAAACCTTGTTGAATATGTACATGAGTGTTATAAGCCAGAGACATACATGAGGTCATATAAACCAATAGTTCACCCCATCCTTTCTATGGATCAGTGGGTTAAGGATGGCTTGCCTCCAATTAGACCTTCATTTCATAAGCGTCAACCAGGAAGACCCAAGAGAGTGAGGACAAAGGAGGCTGCTGAGGTTCAATTACCAGCCCCAAACCCACCAAACCCTTTGCCTCCAGGTTACACTGCTCCAGCAGCAAAACTTAGAAGACTCTTCATTAAAATTAGATGTGGAGCATGTGGAAAAGAAGGCCACAATCGAAGAGGATGTGGAAGACAGGTTGTTTAATAAAAAAGGGTTTTGTTACGCATTTTAATTATTTGGGTTGTGGTTCGCTGTGGTTGTGATTTTGTATAGATGTGCTTGTATGTTGTGCAGGCTAAGGCAGCCCAAAATGGGAATGTTGGCCAAAATGAAGTTCAAGCAGCTGACAATGGAAATGCATGCCAAAATGATATTGCCCCAGCCCAAACTGACACTTCCCCAGTCCAAACTGACACTGCCCCAACCCAAACTGAAACTAATGCTGCCCCAACTCAAACTGACACTGCCCCAGCCCAAATTGAAGTTATTAGGCGCAGAGGAAGAGGCTTATGGAATCCAGCTACAAGGATGTCATCTTCACAACCAGTTAGTTGCCTATTATTCTTGCCCAACTCAGATTTTTTTATGTTTGCCTATATAGTAATATATTTTGTTTGTGGTTTTTATCTTAGGTGGTAAGTGATATCAGTCAAGGAAGGGCCAATCTGCCAATGACATACTCACAACAAGTGCCCTTGCAACCATCATCCTCTTCACTTACTCAACAAACCACAACCAATAGAGGAAGATTCAAACACAGTGTCAAAAGAGGAGGACAAGTATAGACTGTGAAGACATATTTTGGGGACTTTTAAGACCTATTTTTGGACTCTTATGTACTTATTATGTGGATGTGTATTTTGGGTGAACAATTATAGACTCAAGTATGCTATTTGGTAATGTTATTTTGAAGACTCTTTTGCCTATTCTATGTAATGTTCAGGTGTATTTTGGATTGTATGTAATGTGCAGTTGGTGAATGTTAATTGGTAATTGAAGCCTTTTGGATTGTATGTAATGTGCCCCTGTTCATTTGGTATACACTGCCAATTCAGCACAAAATCAGCTTATATAGCAAAACATCTGATACATTGCCAAAGAGGCACAAAATAACCTTAGCCCAGGTTTCTGCCCATTTTTGCACTACCAATTCCTGCCCATTTCTACACTATGCCGATGCCATCAAAAGCTGTTCAAGAGTATATACAACATTATGCCCATTTTCTGCCATTTCTACACTACCAAATCATCCATATTAATGAACAATATCACAATTATTAAACAAAACAGAACAACAAC